GCCCTAGTATGTATACGTGTATGTGAGATAGGGGCCCTAAATTGTAAGCTCCTTGAGGGCAGGCACTGATGTGAATGTATATTATGTAAAATGCTGTGGAAATTGTCAATGCTATAAAAATGCCTGTAATAAATATAATTTGTGTGGAGAGGATAGGCTGCTTTTTTCTCCCATCCCCGTCTGGCTACAAAGCGTGTCAGTGTTTTGGGTGACCTATGCCCCTTTTATACTTGCTAACTGTGTGCCTTTGGAATTTGAGCTCCACGTTCTGTTTTGTTTTTCAGATTCACGAGACAATCGAATCCATCAACCAGCTGAAGACACAAAGGGATTTCATGCTAAGCTTTAGCAACGACCCTCAGGAGTTTATCCAAGACTGGCTGAAATCTCAAAGCAGGGATCTCAAGGTGATCTGGATACAACAAGAGCAAACACATACAGGGTTATTCACAAAAGGGTGAAGAGTTTGGAGAAGGCAGGAGAAGTGAACAATCTGGGACAAAATAGCTGATTTGAAAACATTTTCCAGTTCAGCTATGTTGTCCTAGATTCTTCCCTTCTCCTGCCTTCTCCAACCCCTTCACCCCTTTGTGAATAACCCAGATAGAAGGGAAGGATAAAGCAGTACGAATCAGCTGTCCAAGAATACTAAACGTCATGCTCGTCAACGCAGTCATATATAGCAAAAGAAGGGGTCCATTTGTCAGGATCATTTGCAGCAGGGTATTAAGCACCATGTCAATTGCAATCCGAATATGCTAAGATGGCCCCTTTCTTGGCTACATGGGATAGGAGGTTGTAGTTCTGATTTAAAGAGATACAGTAGTATAATGCCTTTATTTGGCACTCTTAGACCCCGTTCACAACGGAGCAGTTCAGCCGCACGCATCCGCCGACATGAACAATCCCATACATTGCCTTGGGAAACATTCATGTGACCCTGCGGGTCAGCGCGATCTGCAACGACCCCCACCCGAACTGCTCCCTGCACTATTTTTGCCACCCTGATCAGTGCGGTTTCCATACAAGTTTTAATAGAACCATGCTGATCAGCGAGGTTTTGGGCATTTTTTTATTGCGTTTCAGTGCTGAAACACAATTAAAAAACTCCCAAAACCTCCCTTGCGAGATCAGCGCAGTAACCTCGCTGATCCGCAACCGCCCTGGTGTGAATGGATTCTGAATAAAAGAACCTGCTCTGCTTTTCTTATAGGCTGACAAATACACAAAACTATACATATGCATATTTCACCTTTTTTCCTTTTACTGGAATTGTATCTGACAGGTAGCGCTTGTTCACACCAACAGTTTTGGGCCGTGTTCTTCCCATGTCTTCAACCCCAGCCAAAGACTCCCTTTTGGGGAGAAAGCCTACATTGGGCATTGGCTCACTTGGTAAAGTTTCTGCCCAGTTGGAAAGCCATCCCTCCTGTTCAGGAATTTGTAAACCTGGAGGAGGCATTTTCGATTTAGTCATAAAAAAATGAATTCATTTTATTTTAAGTGATGATATAGTGCAGCACTTAGGGCCGGATTTCCCAGAAGGCCAACCGAGGCCCGGCCTTGGGGCAGCAGGGAGTAGAGGGGCAGCAGGGGTGTGGGATTCCTATCTCCCATGCAGTTCTGGGTACCAGGCGGGTAGTTGTTTCTACATTTAGCCCTACTTTGGGCAAGCAGGGCTAAATGTACAGAGGGGAAGCCGCCGCGTGTTTTCCACAAGTGATTACTTGTATGCAGCCTGCATACAGGGGGGCACATTGAGGAACCTGGCATTGGGGCAGCAGAGAGTGTAAATCCGGCCCTAGCAGCACCATAGCTGCACAAGGTAATGATTTTGTAAATGAAAGGTCAGTTTAATGAAATTAAAGTTATATCATGTATTATTTCTAAGCAATACAATGTAATTAAGGAATGATGTACTTCCAGATCATGACTGATATGATGGGCAATCCAGAGGAAGAGAGGCATTCAGAGTTCTACGAGCAGCCGTGGACTCAGGAGGCTGTGGGGAGATACGTTTTCTTCAAGGTCTGGTTTTCCTATTCTCTCTTGATGAACTTTATGCCATCTCTAACTACATATCTTACCAGCTACTTCCTCTTCAATAATTTTTTTACTTTTGCAAACGTGCTTGCAAAATCAGTGAGATAATAGGCAGGAATAGCTAGAAGGGGGTATAACCCCTTTTCAAAATGAGGAATGATGTCTTAATTGTACTACGGTAGGTAGTCCACTATGAAAGCCAAGGGCTCTCAGTTTGGTAGATTGCTGGAAGATTGATATGTATGGAGTTCTAAATAATACATGTGATTCAATGTAAAAGTTGAATACACAGATGAAATACAAAAAAGGGAACTATTTTACCTCTTAAAGGATGTGCATTTTTGCCCATCTAGTCTTAAGATTTAGACAGCTCTGCTACACAGCACAGCCCTGCTTGGCAAGGTAGGCGACCTGTTAAACTGCTGCAGTTTATTAACATTTACAGGTCTTGTTCCTCCACCAATCTGTGACTGGACAAGGAAGAGAGAAGCAGCAGACTGATGAAATTATCTCTCTGTCACTCTGCTCTCTCTTTATATCAGCATGTCTCTTGTTAGCACATGAGCATTGCAGCACACATCCCTTTGCTGCTTCTTCTTCTCCCACTCTGAGCTCTGCTTTGTCATCTGTGGATGGTAAAGCTGCTGTAGAGCTTTAGATTTGATAGATTGTTTATTGTTCAAATGCATATATATATCTAATATCTCATATCTCTATCTGTCCTGATCCAGCCAAGAATGAGTAAGTTAGGATAATTTTCCACTTATTTCATAAACACTTTTAACATCACAGGTCTGTCGGGAGTTAACACTACTGTATCGAAGGAATGCCAAATGTCATGATGGAGGTCATTCCAATGCTGGGGGTGTTTTCACTGGACACTGGTCTGTGCGGCTGCATCCACATTGCACAGTCTAGAGGAGGGATCAGCAATCTCGGTACTCCAGCTGTGGTAAAGCTACAAATCCTATCATGTATCTGGTCTGGGAGTCATTCCTGTGACTGTCAGATGCTTGCATTGCTTCATGGGACTGGTAGTTCCACAATAGCAGGAGTACCAAGGTTACTTACCCCTGGTCTTGATTTATAAAACTTCTGCCTAGCCATACACTGTGCAAAATTCCTTTGCCCCTCAGCTCCATCTAGTGGCAGGATTGCCGTGCAAAAAGGCTGGGCTGAAGTTTTATAAATCAATCCTTTAGATGTTACCACCTATTCCTTTAAAGAAATGTGTGCATTTCAATTCTCAAACGTTCTAGAAAGCTAACAACTTACCTCCTATACAGTACAGTGCACAATTTAAAATCTTCTGCAAGTTACAGAAGTCAGAAAGTAAGGTGCAAACAGTATTGAAAATAAAAGGGATAAACAAAATTACAGAAAAAAAAGTATCTCTCCTGCTCCCGGGGTTGTATGGAATACATGGATCATACCCCACCAACATAGAGAAGATGGCAGCCCTCAGATAACACAAACATTTGACTGCAGATGTCAGATTTATAACATTATAGATCGCAATGGATAAAAAGGGACTGGCCACTCTAAGTAGCACAGGTAGGATTCTGGTACTCAAAATCTGTTAAACATTGATAACTGTGTAGAGTTATGAATTAAGGTGCCCATACGCCTGCCGATTATCGTACGATAATTGTGGGTGATCCCGCAATCGTACGATAATCGGCAGGTGTATGGGCAGCGTGCGACCTCTTCTACTGTAACGTCGCACGGCATTCGTCTTCCGAGCTCGCTTGAAAACCTGCCGAAAATCGTACGATTTTTGCCTGGTTAGTGGAGTGCTTGGGAGACGAATCGCACACTGCCCGCTCAGCACTGCAATCATCAGAAGCACTACCCTCAGCGGGGAGGGCTTGCGATGATCGCAAGTACGATCTGCCTGTCCAAGGTGGGCAGATCGTACGAGATTTTAATCACCTTACAACCATCGCACAAGGAAAGTCGTACGATGGTTCTAAGGTGTATGGGCAGCTTTAGAAAGTAAGTGTAATAATGGTTTCAGCTGTTCTGACCAGAGACCCAACATGCATGCTTTCCATCTAGCAGAGCCAGTACCAACATAAAATGACTTATTGGCGAGTCCCAAAACTAACCTGTACTGTACATTTTTCTATTCATGTTCCAGGTCCAGCAGCGGAGGCAGGAGCTTGAGCAGGTCCTGGGAATACGTCTGACATGAGAACATTCTGGAGCAGCTTGTACTTAAAATTCTTGTGCCTTTATTATACATGTTCTATACATTCTGTCACCTTAGAAAAGCTGTGTGTCAGTCCTCGGGTACGATAAGTTAGCTGCCTTTTCATTTACAAAACCTATGCAAAATTCTGTCTCCAGAAACATAAGGAAGAGATGTATCTGCTCTATAAACCTGAACACCCAATTAGGCTCAGGGGTTTCTACAGGAATTGTCTAATTGGGTGCTGTAGGTATTAATACAGTTAACCCCCCAAACTAGTTTCATGGATAAGTTCTCGGTGCTCAGCTTAATTCTTGTTATTGATTGTAAGCCAACGCATGACACACTTTTACACAGAGGCCCAGAATGAAGTGCAAGGCACACCTGGGCAGTTTTTGGCTCTCCATGACAATGGGGACCCATAGGCAAAACAAATTAAAAAGGCTTCCATTTTTATATCACACTAATTGTGGTCTTCCATGACATTGCTTTAAAGGGCAACTCCAGCCATGCCTCAAAATTCACAGTAAAATCTTTTCTTATAGAAACTGAAAAGTAATACATATTTCTTAATGGATCCTCAAATCCCCAGTTAGCTATATGGCTGTGCAGCATACTAATGTACATCTCCATACTGATTATGTAACTAACACAGACCTTGCTGCTTGTATTAGTCTCCACTCAAAGTAATTCCTTGCCACCTTACAGAGCAGACCCTTGTACCGCAAGCCTGGTTTCAACCTTTAGCTGGTGTCTGCCAGTTCAGTATATATAGATTTAATATTACTTTTTTTTTTTTTTATTATTGAATTACTTTAACCTAAATTGTGTTCAGTTTCCTGGAGTTGTTCTTTAAATTCTAAAACATTAAAAACTATTTCACCACCATTCATCAAATCCACATTATGTATGGTGTATAATGCTTTCATTATCAAGCAAATCTGATATTGCCGATCTATGAGGTGTTGCTAAATGTTGATGACAAAACAGCCCCCATACCCTCTTCCTTTTATTTAAAACTCAGGAATCTCCCTCTTCAAATAATGCCAACTTAAAGCGGAAGTAAACTACCAGAAACAAATACAACATTTTGGGCCCCCAGGAGCTTCTTGCCATACTGGTCAAGTATACTAAGCATATTTGGACAATTATGGCATGCTTACCTCTCCAGCGCTGCGATGTCCACACTGCCCTCCATTGCCGGCGCTCTCCCCTTCACCTGGTGTTCTTCCAGGTTCAGTCTTTGGCCTTCCTGTCAGCGGGTTGTTTTTTTTTTAAAACGGGGGTTTACTTCTGCTTTAATTCCAATACTTGACTTGTCTTTATTATGAAAATGTAATGGTAGCATTTCAGTCGGTTTTGACGTAGTTTTAGGTTTTGTGTTTTCTATATGCAAGTATTCTATTTGCACTATATGGTGGGGAAGGGGTTTATTGCTTTTTATTATGGTACTGCTGGGGAAGGATCTCCGCTTCCTGAGGAATACAAGGTTAGGAGTTATTACGTGTTGTTGTTTTTTTATTTTCTAAGGTGACCATTTGTTATATTCCTTCCTATGCAACTTGTTATACATACTTACGAATCTTTGCACTAAGTTTTTGCAAATTTCCAGCAGTGATGTTTTGCCTGACGGTAGAAATAGCCATATCATTGCTGGAGACATTGTAGCCTTTCCTGTGTATGCAAATAATACCCCCCCAATCTAGCAAAAATGGGAGGTATATGCTGTGAAAAATGCTGAATGTGCAACCTGGAGCCATACTGTTTGTTTCTCAGGGTGTGTGCCATTGATATGTGCAGGTGCAAATTCATGACTTTGGACCAAATAAGAAACCAATAAAGCTGTGTGGATACTTCTCAGGTTTTAAAGACTTCGTATTAAGTTCTTATACATGAGGCCGGCTATGCAAAAATGATTGGGGGGTGTGTTCTAAAGATAGAATATCTATGCTGCTTATAGATAGTTCATATTTCATTTCTGATCATCATACAAAGCTGGAACCAATGGTCATTGTGCTAGGAATAATCCAAGTGAGTAAAAAGGACTCTGCAAAATACAAGGGCCTAAATTTAGGTTAGAGGAAAGCAAACAGTCTGCCATGCCAACCAAACTGATTACGGATGCCATTTAATACAGATTTGAAAATGAAAGAATCGAACTGCCTGCTATCAGTTAACGCATTCCCTAATATTTACTGTTCTATAGGAGAGCTTGTTCAAATCGAAATATGGGAGCCGCCATTGCCAATAATATAAGGGCCTGTTCACTAAAACACAGCAATTTAGTAGCCAGGCTATGGCTTTATATGGAGTGTACAATGAGTACACTCCATTCAGGCCCCCACACAGCAGCATAGTGTGCTGCTGCAACCTGTGGTGGCATCCACTGCATTGTGATAAAATGCTGCCTGTTTCCATAGCGCAGCACCCATCACACCTGCGTTGTAGTGTTAATGGGACTCATCGAAAAAAGTTTTCTATGCATCCTTGTGATGACCTGCATTGATCCAGTGCAGTAAAATGCAGGTCGTATGTGTGAATGGGCCCTAAAGGTGCAGGTTTCAGAGCTGTCATCTTGTTTACAGCTTCACTACCAAGCGAATCAGTAACACAAGACAAGCATGCATTGAAAAAAAATCTGCCCAGTATAGGATACTTTGTGGCAAGTCAACAACTAATGCCAATGTCACACAAGCAAAGTAGCGCCAGCAGCAGAATCACTGCACAGAGGGTTACACTTACCTTAATAGGATTACTCCCTGACGTTACATGTTACTAAATCTTACTTGCTAGCCTGGCTGATGAGAGCAACTACTTAAGAGGTCTGTTAGCAATCTTGCCCCTGTCTAGATGTTGCCAAGGACAGACTCGCACGTGTGAAATGGCCCTAAGTACAAACGCCAGGATCAGTAGCCCTAGAATTTCCATCTTCTATCACAGGGTCGGCAACGATGGCCCTGCGGCTCCCATCATGCCTCTGCGAGCCATGTCTGTGGCTGTCAGTGTCTTGCAATGCTTCTTGGGTCTTATAATAGCTTCACAACAGCTGGAGTGCCGTGGTTGCCTACCAGTTATATCGCATTTTTTTCTGCACCAAAGCCCTGTGTGTCTGTCCAGAGTTTGTATTTCAGAAATGTAAGCTTTCAAATTTCTATCCTCAGAGGTACACTTTAAAGAATATTAGCCATCCCTGGTAAGTATCTGCTCTAGACAATTTCTTACAGTTGCCTTAACTGAAGCATTATAAAGTCCTATAGAATATTACTCGTGTCAAACAAGGACCAATACTTTTCAGTTTGTATGTTTTTTTTAGAGAAGAATAGCTTTCCAGTACAATTGTTATATGCAGGTGAGATCTTACCACAAAGCCTGTAAACCATGCCTTGGTAACAAACATCCAAAGCCTGGCTCTTCGGGAAATGTGCTGAATGGCAGCAGGCATTTTAATGCGTTTTCCTCACAGTCTATAGTTGGCCCGTTTCACATACACTTTTTTCAGCCCAGTGAAAACATTTCCAATAAAAATGGAGGCCAGGAAAAGTCAAGGTCTCTGGTACAGCCACACAGAACAAGTAACATCACTTAGACATAGGACACAAAATGGCTGTAGGTGACGTCTAAAATCAGCGGGTACACACAAGTAGTCACAGTACATTTTTATCTATGACTTTAATAAATTGTGCAGTTTACATAGCTGTGGGAGTGGGGACCAAATGTGTTTCATAAATATTTCTTGTTGTCTGCAAAAACTGTTGAATATTTTAACAAATAAAAGCTTTTGTCTTTGTTTTAACTTGTTCTGTTCTTTATTAAAAACAGATCACAGAGTTTCATTGTTAATGTTACAAAAAAGAAAATGCCATTTTTAGTCTACCGATTACTGAAAAGAACAATACCCAAACCCATTCCCGCTTACACACCTACCTTAAAGTAAACCTGTCATAACAGTGGGCTGCCATTGTTAATCTCCTGAACATGCTAGGTTGTCATACTGTAATGCTGACCCCTCGGGGGTCCTAGACTTTGGGGCTGATTTACTAAAGAAGATGAGGATCATCATCACACAATTGTGAATATTCTCAACCTCCTTTAGTAAATCAACTCCCCTGGAACACATAGCTGATCAGGAAATCAGAACTCTTTATCTGAATATGCGTCTCAAGTACTGAAGGAGACCTCAACAATGGCAGCCTATGTATTTTTCCTTTGAATAAAGATTAGTGGGGCACACGAGGAAGCAGACACTGAACATGACTGACTTTTCCAATGCTGATAAGAACTTCGCACTGGTAGGAAATTTAAGTAGGAAAACCTGTAGGAAACTGAAATAAGCTAGAAGTGGTAGCTGATAGATAAACTGTCATATACATTTAACCCCCTACTGCTGCCTGTCAACATAAGCCATCAGCTACAGCTTTTACCCTATGATTCATAGCTTCCCACAGGTTTGCTTTACAATTACCTCCCCCCCCATGGCTGCTTGGAAGTTACAGAATGGTGGCAGGTGTCTTCAAGTAATGCTTTATCCAGGCTGCAACCATAACTTAGCAGCAGCAGCTGTACAGACACACAAAATAGATTGCCGACGTCTTCCAAGGATTTTCTCCTGGCATTGTTATTTCCACAGTTTCTTTATAGACATATTCTTTTCACTGTCTTTCTGCATCACCTGAAAGAGAATGAAAGCTTTAGTTATGGGTACCAAAACAGTTTAAAATATTAGGGTACATGTCCTGATGGCAAGAGATTTGTGGTCCATAACAAAGTTAACTATGATCAGAGTTGTACTACATGTCCAGATTGCTGCCTTTTACGTTAAAATACATACTTGACTTAATGCCGGATAGTACAACTTCCGCTGTACTACCAGCATGCTCCGTACATGAGAGCTGCGGGTCTCATAGACGGAAACACTAATGTTCTTAATCTGCCCCCTCTTAGCCATTCCAAGATTGCCATGTATTATGTGAATCGTTTGGCTGAGCACAAGTGCATTGAAATTTGAAAGCATGTTGCCCAAGGATGGACCCCGAACAGTTATTGTGGAAGAAATGGTTTGGTTAGTTGATGATGAACCTTTATATTTCCAAGTTATCACAAGAGCATTAGTCTTACCTTTGCTACAGCCATTTCAAAGTCTTCTTGTGTGACGTGTACTCTCCTCTCCCGTAGTGCATACATCCCAGCCTCGGTACACACACCCTGGAATCACATTACATAGATCAACTTACATCATACAGGAACCACATTCTGTAATTATACCTATAGGTAAATATTGCATGAGTAAGCCAAGATCAAGCAGACAAATCCTACATCTGTGCACACCTGCATTTAACTGATGTCTGGAAGGAAAACATTTCAACCTCCACTAGCATTTGAGACTCACAGAATGTAATTTTAGTACTATGATTTGGGAATGGGTGCTGACCACACTGTGGGTAAAAGCGATTGTATCCTAAGTGTAGCTTCTAGCATCCAGATACTATAGTAACTCTCAAGGCAGTCAGTATTTCATATACAGTATGTACAGATCACGTGACTCTTAAGAGATTCTGTTCTAACAATTGATGTTACAAGCAAGCCCTATTTTATTTTTCCAGCAGCAGTATCAGGACAGCCAGGCTTTGGAAGGTGGAAATCATTTAGTTTAGTGTCAGTCTGCAGTCATGTTAGAGAAGACACAATTCTGCTCTAATATCTACATATAAGGGTACTGTCATTCTTGCCAAGGTTCCTTTTAATCACCAAGAATCTGGCCTGGTAATAATTACAGGTCACAGTGAATTCTGTACAACTCCCAGTAAATACTTGGACTGCAATGAAAAGCTTTCTATTCCCACTAGCATTTAGGACTGGACGATTCACAGAATGTGGTTTTGGTGCAGTGTTTTGGGAATGGGTGTTGAACACAGAATGGTCCAGGGGGGTAAAAGATTGCACAAGAACTTCCACATCTGGTTCCCAGTGCTCAGGCTCAGTCATGGGACTCCGGGCAGCGACGAGTGCTACAAAAATCCATCTGCTCCCCATTATTCTATTGTCTGAAAAGGACCTGGGTTCCGGCCCCAAGACACGTCACCAGTAGTAGTTTTGCTTCCGCACAGTACATTGAAATTCTCTCCACTTATTACCAGCACTCTTACCTTCACCTCAGCCCCGGATGCGCCAGGCATCAATTCGGCAATCTTGCGCAGGTTGATACCGCGAGTCAGATTCATTTTGCGGGAATGGATTTTGAGGATGTCCAAACGTGCCTGCGTGAGGGACAGATCATTGATGAGCTTTTACTGCCAATACACAGAGTGAGAAGCCAGCGGCTGTTATGGGATTAATCACAGGTTCTCACTTAATAACTTGAAGGATTGAACACCAGACAAAATGGCTTCCAAATTTTTTTTTTGCAGACCATTCATGTGAATCAGAAATTCCGACGTGTTTGTACAGCACCAATGTTGCATAAATACCCAAGAAAAAGTACATAAATTAACTTAATTTCAAGATCAGACTAGTCTTCCCCTATCCTGTTGATGCCAAAGAGACCGGCTCTGAAGTCTTACATAGAGACCAACTCCCTTTCTCTAAAGGGATCTTCTGCCTGGAACTGATTCAGTGTGTTTAGCTGCCTTCAACTCAGTATAAAGACTTATGAGGCTGAAATGAAGGGGAAGATATTAAAGTGACACTAAACTCAGGAGTTAAATCTTAAAAATCAATTCAAGTACCTTAACTACTAACAAGAATGTGTCTTATTTGTGCTCCAAAATCGCTCTTGTGATGGACAACAATCTCATGTTTAGTTTACTCATTTTTAATGAGATTGTAGTCCATCACAGGAATGAGTTTGGAGTGGTGACTACTTTACAACACACACAGGGGGACCATGGAGAACAAAAGTAGCCCCCCTCCAGAAGGAAGGACAGTGTCAGCTCAAATTCAGAGATGATTGGAGGATCTACAGCCGAGTGATACACAAATAAGATACATTTTTGTTAATCGTTAAGGTAACTGAATACATTTTTAAGATGTAACTCCTGAGTTTTGTGTGACTAAGAATTTCATAAGAAATAAAGCAAAACCTTTGCTTTTACTTTATCCTTGGGTATGTCTGCAGCACCATTGCTGCACAATGCAGGCAGGCACAATTCTGCAAGTTCCGAATGCTGCAGCACTAAAGTTTAATTCTAAAACGGCTGTCAAATGTAATTCATGGTCAGGAGCAAGCAAGTAGGAGCCAGAAGTTAACCAATGCTCAAAAAGACAACGGATGTTTTAACATCTAGTCTGAAAAATAAAGGGCAATATAAACTAATGAATGAAGATCAATGTATATATTATTCACACTTTTTGCCTTAAAACAGAAAATTCACTAACAACCAAGGCCTGGAAGTATAGGCTGAGAGTCTTGGGGGAATGAAGTTGGAAGGTAGAGCTACCCATTAGTAAGCTCTGCCTGAACATCAATCCTCAAACATAGACACCAAGTTTTAATACTGTTCTGACATTGTTTATGGGAAACTGCAAGATTTTCTAGGGGTCCCTCCAGCTCGATCCTAAACATTTGTTTACATCATGCAGACTGAATTTGAAGTGTCTTCAAACAGAAAAAAAATTACCTTCCAAGAAAATGAAGAAAAAAAAAAGGGGAAAAAAAGGGAAGAAAATGCTAAACAAGCCGTGAAGATGAAAATAAGCAAGGGATTAATAAGGGCATGCTGTAATCTTTATCTAATTATTTACCTCCTCATTAGGAGGGGGGAACTCAATTTTCCTGTCAATACGTCCAGGGCGCAGGAGAGCAGAGTCCAAAATGTCAATTCTGTTTGTTGCCATAATGACCTGAAAGAAAGTAAGTATCAGTGAGCAAAGGAAAATGACATTGTTAATATGACATTTAAAAAAATGCTTGTGCACTTTATTCAAGCTTCCGTTTTATACATGAAGCCCAATACCTGGCCATTCTAACACATCTTTCCAACAGGTTTGACTGAGACCCTCCATGTAGTAACAAGGGGGTACCACATTTCCAAAGCCCCTACCTAAAGTAGGCATCCAATTGTGTTTTTGTTGACAGAATGAAGCCTACCCACTTGATACAATGAAGGGAATTTATCAAAACTGGAGCAGACAAAATCTGCCCAGGGCAACCAACCAGTCAGCTTCTCTGTTCAGTTTGTTCAGTTGAGATCTGAAAATGAAAGATGCTGATTGGTTGCCGTGCACAGCTGCTCGAGTTTTGATAAATTCCCCTCAATGTTTTTTCAGGTTGTCAATGATAGCCAATTTCCCCAGTACCTGGATATCCAAGCAAACCAAATTCAAATCCCCAGGCCAAGGTTCACTTTTAAATCAAACCTGTCCTTTAACCATGCAGGCAAAGCAACAAGTTCACTCCCATGCCCACATCCCCAGCAGAACATACTTGTGCGCCTTTACTTCACTTTTCCAATCAGTTGTCAAGAGCGAATAATATACCTGCTACTTCTTTGTATGCAAGAGCATGCGACTCATTTCATCTGACAGTGCTTATTCTTTGCAATTGGCCCAACGCTGTCACATGAGGGTTGGGAGAACCCTCTAGAAAGGAGGGTATGCAATGCATTAAAGTAATCCTGTTGTTTTTCTCTCAAAAGGCAAAGTACATGTTCACTTTAAGAACATTTAAGCTAAGACCCATTGTTATCGCTGTCCAACATCTACCTTGATATTCTTGGTTGCCTCAAAGCCATCCAGCTGGTTCAGCAGCTCAAGCATTGTACGCTGGACCTCACTATCACCACCAGACCCTCCTTCTAACCGTGAAGATCCAATAGAATCAATCTCATCCATGAAGATAATGGACGGAGCGTGTTCACGAGCCATGACGAAGAGTTCACGCACCATGCGGGCTCCTGCAGATGTACAATATGGGTTACAGTACAAGGCTACACCTGATAGTCAATAGCTAATTCAAATCAGTATGATTACCCAGCCATGAGGACTCACGCAACTTAGAAAGCGATCATCTGCATTCATTTATTTCTTATTCAGACATTTGCTACTACCCAGGTTTCATTTTTTTTGCGGCCAATTTACATCTATGCATTGCGGCAATGCCATTACATGTTGCAGTGCCTTTATTTGGAGTAACAGCCCAACGCACATATGTTGTAGTGTACTGCCAACACATCATAGTAGTGGAGTCAAAACTTTTCTGGCGCATCTGATATTTGAGGAGTTTCGGTGTGTTGGCAGCCATTTATTTCAATAGGCCGCCTTAAAAGTAGAACTATCGGATGAGTGAAATACACTCTTCAAAGTTAGAGCAGACATGCGACACTGAAGCTGTCACACATCAGCTCTATGGATTGAGAACTGAACCATCACTTACCGTTGATCATTTCGTTCCTGATCTTCTCCCTGCAGAGAGTGATGACTATCAGTCATCACTCCTCGCAGGGACTCCCCCCCCCCTCCCCTATCCTCCAGCACTGTCTGGAGGGACAGATGGGAGGAGGGGATGGGCACAGGTGGCTCTGGCTCTAGAGAGGCAGCTGTCAATCATCAGCGGGGTGGATCTGGACAATATTGTCGGGATCTTTCCCAGCTGCAGCGTGGCTCTGCACTGTCAGTATTTAGTGGGCAATAGCCCGCTATATGCAGAGTTTTAGGTCATAGGAGGATATTAGGAAATGTCCTCCTGTGACCCTAAAGATAACTATGGCGAAAAAAGTTTGGGCAATAGTTCTCTTTTAAAGCAACATGCACACACCCTGCACAAATATAAATGGGCTTTTAGGGACGAGGTTCCCCAGCACAGTCCGACTCTGGCGCCTGTCATGACTGCTATGAAGTTAGTCAAGGGTTCTGGCCTCTAGAGGACAGAAAGTGAGTGAATTTCTGCAATACAAAGCGGACTGTGGTTCTAGCCTTTTCCTACTATACATTAAAAAAGCAGCAGACTGATGACATTTTTCCAAGACTGCACCTTTCAAATTTCAGGATTCCAATTACAGATTTGGAATGTATAATGTCCTTTTTTTGGTTTTTCATTATACTGCTGCTGCATATTGTGACATGACAGGCATTTATGCAAAAGGGTAAAAGTACTGACAGACTCTTTGACAGGTCAAAAAAAAAAAAAAAAAAAAGAAAACAAAAAAAA